CAACACCCAGAAGGCTAAAGCAGGGAGATCATGTGTTTGAGGCCAGCCTGGGTTTTACAGAGAGTTCAGCCTGAACTACATGGTGAGACGCTGTCTCTACAAACATACATACATACATATATACACCCCAAATATGTGTTTACAATCCAGAGATTACCAATTTTTTGACTCTAAAAACATTTTTGTCAAACTGTACAGATGCCAACATGCTAGTAATTATTTTTAGGATCTGCTGACTAAAAAAATATATATAATAAAAATGGTTATGATGAACTCATTAGTAACTTTAAATCAATTTTGATTTTATCAGAAGTCTCGGACTTTTTAAAAAGAAGTGGGATTTGTAGATATTGTGTATTCAGTATGGAGACAAGGTAGTGAACATGCACAGCTCCCACTGCACTGACAACCCCTGCTGCGGTAATAGCAGTGAACACTTCCTGAATAGTTGCTAAGTGCCTGTTCTAAAGCCCTGGACATGTATCAACTCTAAGTCACACAACAAAGGTGAGACTAGTTTTCATTATGCTCCCCATTTGTAGAAGAGGTGTTTGTTTCCCTTTATGAGGAGATCCTAATTTTCACCTGGGGACATGATTGGTCTAAGTCTATATTTCCTTGCCTTCTTGATGTGTGACTAACTTTTGATCAGTGAGAAGTGAATAGAAACACATATTTGGAGAAATGTTAAGGAGGAGGGGTGCTGTTACCTTTCCTGTTTCCTTTTTTTATTTTTTGGTACTGGGATCAAACTCACAACCTCACACTTGCCAGGCAGGCACTTACACCCCTGAGTTAACTCCCTGGCCTTCCTTCCTGCTTCCTAGATTAAGAATGTCATGGCCAGAGGTAAAGATGAGAGATACACTACAGGGATGTCAGGGCAATGAACTGGGAGGCTGCTGTACCATTCCTGGAGAACGTGCTTCCTAGGCATGGAACCCAGGCCTTCACCCGCACTAAGTATGTTCCCTACATTGTACTAGAGCCCACCCTTGCCTTTGGATTTATGTGAGGCTGAAGAAAATTTACCCTGTTTAATTACTTTTATTTATGTTTCCTCATCTGATGGGAATGAAATTAATTGAAAATGGTAAAACAGGTATACTAAGGCTAAGTAGCTTGTCTACTGTTATGAAATTAAGAGACAGAGATGACTTTGAACTCACACATTCTTATCCTAGAGCTCACATTGCTCCTAACATATATTGCTTCTTGCTATCCAAATGTAGGAAAGTGACATAACAAGTGTATACTGTGCTGCTAAGTGTTGGAGATAGTTCAGCTAATGAAGACTGAAGAAACTCTGTGGCTGATTGCTGGGTGCAGGCAGATTGCACAAAAAAACCCTTCTTTCCTTAAGGTGGATCTGGGTTATACATCATAACATCCACTATTCCTGCTTGACATCACTCTTTTCTGTGTTTATGACTGAATTATCCATTGATCATATCTTGTTTTCTCATTTGACCCTGATTTATTTTTTTAATCCAGCAATACAGGCATAGTATTAATTGATTGGCTTTAGCACATTCTATTTGCTAGTCCTCCTATTCAAAATCATTTTAATATGAAGACACAGAGGCCTGGGCCCTCCAAAGCAACTTTGAAAGGTCATCCTGGCTTCAGAGTTCTACCTGAAGTTAGCTGAAGCTTTCACTGAGACTGCAAGGCAGTACAGTTTCCCACTTTCCATCTTGCTTTTTTCTTTCTTTCTTTTTTTATTTAAAGAAAAATGAAACAAAAACAGAACAGAAAAAAGGGTAGAAATAATACAGAATTTCAAAAAAAATTAACACTAAGAAATCACCAGCTGATAAATTACATATTGTCCTCTTAGAAATACTGATCTTGCTTTTTCTTCTCTTTACTTTTCCAGGCAGCGATCCCAAGGATCCCTAAAACTTTCTATTATGACTCTTCATTTCAGGGTATTTCCTGGGAAACTGAACCTCTGATATGGTACAATGGCTTTATCTACTCAATAGTTCCTAATTGGATTGGAGATAATTAATAAAAGAAAATTTGGTTATAACTGTTTTGGCCCAATACTCGTTCTGTTTCTTGGTTACAGCTTGTCTACTGCCCACGTAAGACTGCCCTGTTCTGAGTCGATCATATCTTACCTCTTTGGCCACAATGATGAGTACAGGCAGTGAGCACATGATCAGGATTAGACAGTCAGAATCCTTCTGTGGCCATTTTTACAGTACAAGCTAGAAGACAAACTTCTGTTGCTGTAGCTCCCCCTGCCCCTTTTTTCTTTAGTGCAGGGGAGTTAACCGAGATTCTTCACATTGAGCTTCATCTGCAGCCTTTAAAAATAAAGTATTATTTTAAGGCAGAGTCCCTCTAAGTTGCTTAGTTGTTCAGACTGGACGTAAACTTGCAATCCTCCTACCTCAGTCTCTCAGAGTGTGGGATTACAGGTGCATGCCACCAGGCCTGCCTCCCTTGCTTTTCAGATCATGGAAATGTCAAGTATGCTAAGGCCATATTTCCTTTCCACAAGAAAAATGATCATCTGGATATGTGCTGCCAAAGTGAACACAGAAAAATGATCATCTGAAATCAGATGAATAATGCCAAGCAGAGGTGAGAAACCAAGCCCTTCAAGCATGAAATCCCCTGTAGATGCCCAACTTCCTGTTTGTCTTCCAGTAGCACTGTGAGATATCCTACAATTGTTTACTTAAGTGTAGGTTTGATCTTTTTATTTACAATGGAAAACCACTGTGTAACATATCTGTGTATCTCCTATTACTGTAAACTACCACTTTCTCTAACCTATTCCTAGTTTTTCTTTTCCAGGGTCCCACCCTGGATACAAAGGAATATGTGTCTTTAGGCTCCTTTTGATTGTGGCAGTGATAGTTTTGTAGATTTTCCTTGTTTTCGAAGACCGTCATCTTTTTAAAAAACAGTGTTGAGAATCTAGCCCATGACAGCTTTGAGAAGTACTGGCTAAGAACCGTACTTTGTAGAATATTCTCTAACTTTCCTGTTTTAGTCTCATGGTCAAGAATTATAAGTTTTTGAGAGCAATATCAACAGAGCACCACTATCATCACATTATATCAAGTATACATGTTATCAATATGATTTATCACTGTTAATGTTTATCTTTATCTTCTGGTATATTGAACCGACTTTAACATGTTCAATGTCTAATCCACAGGTATCTATAGGAAAGCGTTTATATACTGTCATGGTGATATCTGGATTGGCCTCATTAGTAGGTGAAATAGGTTGATGAAGTAGCTATCAAAATAGAAAAAACCACTTTAGGAAATAGTGGAAAAAGGATTAGCTTTCAAACTTCAGCCTTGCAATTCAGTAGATGTATGATTTTGGACAAGTTCTACAACTGTAAAATGGAATAATGTGTTAAATAATACTTTGAATCAGCTGTTGGGAAAATGTATGTTTTGTATATATTACACTAGAAGTGTGATATTACACATTAGATGTGTGAGAATCTTGTATGGAAAAGAAAACATTCTTGGAAAGTGTAATGCCTTGAGCAGTTCAAATCATGCTGGCTGAGCAGAGCAAGGCTAATGAATTGAGGTGGGGGGGAGTTCCTTTTTTTTTTTTTTTTCCTTTTTTTTTTTTTTTTTTTGGTAACAGGAATCAAACTCAGGGCCTCAAACGCTGAGCTATCTGCCCGGCCTAAGATCCTATTTTTGCCTTGCTTTCTTTTGCCAAAATCTGCTTTAGAGTGGAGATTTCTTAGGTCTTATGAGCTAGAGCAAAGGATTCAACTTTGATACGCGTTAGACATTAATAATTTTGGTGTTCTCTGTACAGTATCTATGTGAGAGAAATCATTTCTCTTTAAAGTTGCAATAACTTTTTTCCAAGTTGTACGGTAGGTAATTTTATTTTTCAAATGGATCAAAAACATAATTATTCAAAGATACAAAATCCTTCTTAAAAAGCTTACCATTTGATTTGAGTGAAAATATCAAGTTTTGGCTTCTTGAGTTTTTATGGTCTTATAAATTCTTGACCCTGAATTTTGAACAAAAAAAAAAAAAAAAAGCAACTCCAACCTCTCAAACTTTAGATTAGAGCCAATACCTCTTAAATTTACTTAGAAAGGAAATACGCAAAGAAAACAGAAGAAGCTAGGCTTTCTCTGCAGCACTGAAGAAGCAACGGTTAGCCTTAGTGGGCAGAGTAATGGTGTTACAAGTGCAGTGATGTGGATTAAAGCCTAAATCTACTCCAGGAAAGACATCGGATTTTGAGAAACCTTTTAAATGTCTTGGGTTTCTCATTTGTGAAACTGCTACTGAGAGGATTAAAACAATTCTTAAGAGCTATTACTTCTAACCCAGAATGTGTTTTCTGTTAAGAAGGGTGCACTGGTTACCAGTCAGTGAGGGTAGGTTCTAGACTTTCCATTGGGAAGCCCAGTTGAGGCAAAAGCAGCAGTGCTTTAAAACCAGGAGCTCATCACATTCTCAAAATCTTTAGGTTCCGGAGAGCAGTAACCATGGAAACCAGGCTGGAGCGATCATTCTTTTCTAAAGCTTAAGTTCTCCTGTTTTTCCCATAATGTTCGAGGCATTGCTATTTTATGGTCCTTTTACTGCTGTTTTCTTTCCACATCGTTAACAACAACAACAACAAAACAGCAACAACCAAATCTACTGAAGCGATTACAAAACATTTTTATCAATCTCTTTTTGGTTGACGATCACATTGTTTTCCCTACTTCGCGACCGCAGCCCCAGAAGCCTTCAGACTTCTGGCAATTCCCTAGACCTTGACTCAAAGCAAGAAGGTAACAGCCGGAAGGCCATCACAGACCACTGAACGGAACACTGCGCACTACCCACCCGCTACAACCCTTGCAAGACCATTGCGGGGGAGACGCGAGGAAATCCACTCTCGCGAGAAGAGGGGCTGCGGCGGAAACCCGTGAGTGGTCCCCTCGGCTACCCATCCCAATGTGGGCGGGACCAGGGAGAATCCGTCCTCTTCCGGCTCTTCTCCCCGCCCCGAACCCTGAGAGGCCGGGCTGAGGGGCGACAGCGGTCTTTTCCAGGCCTTTGAGGGTAGTATAGGTTCGGTTCCGAGCCTTCGGAGGGCGCTCGGGCCGGGTCTGGGGGGGGCGGGGAGGGACCCGAGCTAGCGGCCCCGCCCCCTTCTGCCCGCCCTCGGCTGGCGCGGGTTAGCCCGCCCCCCGTGCGGTCCAGGGGCCGCGTCCCCGCGCACCTCGGCAGCCGGGGCCAGAGCTCTTGCCCGCAGGTGTCGTCGGCGGTGGCCCCACGGCGCAGTCCGGCTTGGCCTCATGGTGGGCTTCGGTGCCAACCGGCGAGGCGGCCGCCTGCCCTCCTTCGTGCTGGTGGTGCTCCTCGTGGTGATCGTCGTCCTCGCTTTTAACTACTGGAGCATCTCTTCCCGCCACGTCCTGCTCCAGGAGGAGGTGGCTGAGCTGCAGGCCCAGGTCCAGCGCACTGAGGTGGCCCGCGGGCGTCTGGAGAAGCGCAACTCAGATCTTTTGCTTCTGGTGGACACCCACAAGAAACAGATCGACCAGAAGGAGGCCGACTACGACCGCCTTAGTAGCCGGCTGCAGGCTAGGGAGGGCCTGGGAAAGAGGTGCGAGGATGACAAGGTAAGGGCGGCCCCTCCTCCAGCCCCCAGGGTGCTTCTTTGAGCTCTAGGGTTCGGTTTCAGCGCTGCCTCCCTCCGATCTTCCAAAATTGCTGACCTAGAAGCCTCCCTTACTCCCAACAAACCTGATGTTGCTAGACTTTTCTTGGTATATCCGTGCCACATTCCCTAGTCCCTGCCTGATGCTGGCTGCAAGTTCTGGTTCTCCGGAGTGGCCTGTGTGTGAATGTTGCTGAGCTGGCAGTGCTCATCAGACCTATGTGGCCGCCTTAGGTTCACAGACGCAAATCTGGTGGCTGCCAGGTTGGGTGTGGGTATTATCTCATTTTTATTCTGTGCTCATGGATCAGCATTAATTTGTTTACTTAAATCATTCCTCCTCTAACTCCTCTTGGTAATCAACACATTATGTTAAGTAACATAATTTTTTAAATCTATTGTCCGATAAATCGGACATTGCTACCTTTTTGTGATTAAAATATTATGATAAACGATCCAGGAGCTATATATTTGCTACACTTGCAGCTTGGACCTAGTTAATTCATAATTGTCTACTCAATTTGAATTGTTAATGAAATTAGCCAGAATGATAGAACCTAAAAGTAAGTATTAAGCAAAAGAATCTCACGTCTATGTCCTCATTGTTCTTAAAAGAAAATAAAATGAAATTGTGTACGGTTAAGTAGCTCTTGAGATTGGTGTTTTATATAGATAGAAAATACAGTGTTCAGTTATAAAGTTAAAAACTAAACTGTGCACATACCTGCTACTGAACAGTCCCATGTCCTCCAGTATGATTGTAACTGTAGTAATAGATTGTGACAGGCAACTTCTGTTGGCGTAGCAGAATTGTAAAAATTTCTAGGTTAGATAATAATTGATTTCTCTTTGAATTTTTTAGTAATTTCACTTTTTGGCCTAAGTTTTTCGTTTGCACATCAAAATCAGTTATAGTAAATCATTGTAAATTAAAATCACGAACTGCCAGTGTTCCCATTGTCATTAGCTTTTACTTTGCAACTTAATTTTATAAAGATGGATATTTTCAGGTAAATGCTTCTCTATAACCTTCTTTTTCGTAGAACAGACGTCCTTAATAGGCAAGGAATCAGCAAATTTGTGCACTTACGGCATAGTGAACTACACAAACTGAAAAACGCTCAGGTAGAGTAGGCAAAAATCCATGAGATTTTGGAGTATTAAAATGAGGTCTTTAGCCAGGTGTGGTAGTGCATGGCTGTAATCCCAGTAGCAGGGAGGCTTAAGGTAGGAAGATATTTGGAAGTTAGAGACCAGCCTGGACTGTGTAGCAAGACCCTGTCTCAAAAAATAAATTAAAAAAAAAAATAAAATGAGATCTTTAGACTTCAAATGGTTAAATACTATAGATTTTTCCAGTCCCAAGAAAATCTTTTCTAGATGTACTCTGGATTCTGTTTTTTCCATCCATTGGGCTGAATTAGTCTCAATGAATTTTCACTGTTTATCTTCAATCAGGTTGCTGTGTCTCTTGTTCTAAGTTTTTAAAAATTTCTCTATATATTGTCCATCAATCAAGCTCTTTTTAAACTTTCATTGCTAAAATCAAGTTAGCGGGTATCTCTTAATCTTCCATCTGCTTCTTCATTTTTCATCCCCATTTTTTTTTTTTTTAATGCTGTCTTCTGTCTTTCCTCCCTTTTCTAAAACTACTTTGGAAGATCACAAGTGTCAGTTACCCATCTCAAATTCAAAGAACATTTTTATCTTCAGTTTAATTAGTCTCTAATTTGCTCCTGTTTATTGTCTGTAGCTTTTTGGGATCTATCTCTTCTCTTGCTTGTTAAATAATATTGGATTCTGTAGATTTTTGCTTGATATTTTTCTTCCCTCCCACCACTCAATTCTTGGGGCCTTTTCCTTAAAACTGTATTTTCCAAAGCATCGTTAAACAGAATACTATTCTTCGAGTTGTTTATAAGTGATCTGGAGAAAACAGCAGACTTTTGAAGGGAGACATTAAGTAGCACATCCACCTTTTAGAGATACGTATGTATGTAGCAGTACTGGGGATTGAACCAAGATCTTCATGCTGTGCTATATTCCTAGCTCTTTTTAATTTAATTTATTTTTTATTTATTTATTTTTTTTTTTTTTTTTGTCGTTTGAGACAGAGTCTCGCTACGCTGTCCTTGGGCTCACATTGCAGTCCAGGCTGGTCTCACCTTGCAGCCCAGGCTGGTCTTCAACTTACAAACAATTCTCCTGCCTCAGCCTCCCACGTGTTGGGATTACAGGAGTGTGCCGCCACCCAGCTTTTTTAATTTTATTTTTTACTTTAAGAAAGGTCTGATGAAGTTGCCAAATTTGGGATCTCCCTGCCTGGCTCTTCTTGAGTGCTGGAATTATAGTCATGCACCATGAGACCTAGCTCTTTATTATAGGTCTCTGTCATCTAAAGGCTCTGAAAAGTCCAATAATAATGAAATCTATTTAACTTTGTTTAATCCAGTCGCATATTTAATCATACATTAGTACTTTCATTGTCTGCCTGTTACCATGCTGCAGAAGAATGTAGCAAAGCACAGTAATTTGGGGAACTGTTGCCCTAATGATCTTAACTGCTTTGCTTACTTGTATGCTAGTTCCTTTTGAGCTAGTTGTAACATCTTCATTGGCATGCTTGTGAATATTCTTAGGGTTAATTAGGAGACTGTGAGGTGCTTAGTAAATATGTTAGTTTTGTCTGTACCTTTTTCTTTGTATACCTTTTTTTCTTTTTTTGGTCCTGGGATCGAACTCACAACCTTGAGCTTACCAGGTAAGCACTTAGGCCACTGAGCTAAATCCCCGGCCCTTTATAAACTTTTTTTTAAGAGTGGTTTTAGAGCTAAAAAATTATTATGATTATAGTACTGAGAATTTTTGTAGGCTCCATCCTCAGTTTTCCTTATTGATAGCATTTTAGAGCATTTGTCACCACTAATAAGGAAATTGAACCTAGGGAGTGCTTGCCTATATCCCCAGCCCTCTTTAGTTTTTAATTTTAAGATCTCACTGACTTGCTTAGGTTAGCCTTGGACCTTACATCCTGCTGCCTCAGTCTCTCAAGAGATGAAATTACAGGAATATACCACCACACCTGCTTGTCTGACTTTTTTTATTTGGATTAAACTGGAGTTAAGGTTTTAGGAAGAAAGCCCACAGAGGTAAAGTATCAGTGTTATCATATATCAAGGATATATCTTTCAAAATGCTTTCTCTTTTGATGTTAACCTTGATCACTTGATTTGAGGTACTATTTGTGAGCATTCTCCACTGTACAGTTTTGCTTTTTTTCTTCCCTTCAATACTGTATGCTTTTGAAGAAAGTCATTATTTGCTGCTACAGTCAGTAAATGAAGTATATATATATACATATACATATATTTTTTAGTGAATGAGGTATATTAATTTGTGCTCTTTAAAGGGCAACATATCTATATAAACTAGTTGAACTTCTTCTCCATAGGAATTTGGTTTCTTTTCTCTCACCAATTTATCTTGTCATTTTTTCTGAAACTAATATAAATTTTGGGGTATTTATTTTTTTACTTTGGACTATAATTGAGTGCTATTTTATTTTGTTCAAATTGTTCTGGCTCTGGCCATTTGGAAGTTACTTCTGTTAATTCTTCTCTTCCTTTTTTACTTCTATAGGTCAAAAAGTACAGAGAATTTTCACACACCCCACTACTAATTTTGCTGTGACATAACTCATTCTTTTTTGGTACTGTAAGATGCAGAAGGCTCATCTTTTATATATTTTTTGCTTCAATCCTAGGTCATATGTTTCTCTAAGCAGCTATAATTCCTTTTATTAGAGACAGGAATTAGAAGCCAAGATTTGGATGCTAAGATAAGCACATTGATGCTCTCTGTGCAACTTGGAAAGCTTGACATCCCTGCTCCACAGAAATCAGAAAAGTGTTTTTGTGCTTTCTAATTTATTATGCCGTCTTGCTTTTATCAGTCTGTTACCCAGATTGTTAAGTACAGAATAGGAAACTTGAAATTTTTCCCATCAGAGGCTAGAAGAGTGAGAAACCATCTATTTCTGTGGACTCCCCTAAGTTTACCTTATTATTTGCCTTTCCTGTTAAGGATTTCAGCCTAGAGAAGTATATTAGTTCATTAGGACTGTCATAACAAAATACCTCAGACTATGTGGGTTAAAATTTGTTTTCTCCCAAGTCTGGCTTCTAAATCATAACAGTCCTCCTGCCTCAGTCTTTCTGGGGTTACGGTATGTATCACCATGCCCAGCTCTACCTTGGATCTTGCTGTGTGGTCCTCATGGGCTAAATCAAGAGCTGTTAGAATGTTGAACAAGCTGTCTTCTGGCAAGGTTGTTTTTTTTTTTGTTTTTTTTTTTTTTTTTTTAGAGTACCGGGGATCAAACTCAACCGCCTGCTTGCAAGGCAGGTGCTTATGCCGCTGAGCTAAATGCCCAGCCCCAAGGTTGGTTTCTTTAGAGGCCTCACTCCTTGGCTTGCCTTATCCTCACATGGTGTTCCCTCCCTCTGTGTTTTTGCACCCCTGGTGACTCTCAGTCATATTGGTTTAGGGCTCCTAATGGTCTTGTTTTAACTTAATCACTTCTTTAAAGGTCTTATCTCCAAATAAGATTACGTTTTTTAATTCTAAGAGTTGGGACCTCAGTTTATGAATTGTGCATAATACAGTTCAGCCTGTAACTAGTGAGGGATCTCTCTCTGTTTTTTCCTACTCCTCTTGGCAGCCCTATAACACCCTCCTTGCCTTTTTCTCTGCATACCCTCATTTGCTGTGCATGCATATATAACCTTTTCTACGTATAGTGCATTTCTCTTATTCCAGCTTGGATTCTTTTTTTTTTCCTTTTGTGACAGGGTCTCTCTATGTGGTTTAGACTGGCCTTAAACTCATTATGTAGCTTAGGTTGGCTTCTAAATCATAACAGTCCTCCTGCCTCAGTCTTTCTGGGGTTACGGTATGTATCAC